TTCCTGCTGTTGAGATACATAATGAGGGACCACCATTATAAACATGGCCATCTGAACAAATACTCTATGGTCTTAATTTATAAAACTAGCGACCAAAGGAATCTGTCTCTTCCTTCCCAAATGAAGACCACTCTGGGCTCTAGGTGCAGGCATTCTTGTTTGCCTATGCCTTTTGCTGTCATAGTTCTGAACTGGGGTGGACTCTGCTGTATCCTGGTGTTTTGCTGCTGGCAATGCATAGAAGTACTTCTACAGATAAGGCATGTTACTGGTGATACTATTTCTGTAGTAAAAGATATCCCTGCAGTAGTTTGCAACTTAGAAGATTGGGACTGCATTTTTGCTTGTTTTCTGTTGTCTTGATGGCAAATTTTTATGAATTGCTTAGCTGTTCAGAGAAAACAAGTTATTATTGCTTTTATTGGTAGCTTTACAGGCCGTGTCAGAAACCTTCATTTTGTTAAAAATGTTTGTCCTAAATTACACATAAATCCTTTGAAAATCTATTTGATTTGGCTTTTATATATATATACACACACACACATATATATACATATGCACCCACACATGTATAGTAGTTTGCTCTCTTGATTTTGTTACCAAACAATATATCCATATGTCACTAGTATTGTACATGCAATTGCTTGTACTGAAGCAGAAATTCTTCCTGTTTCCAATGGAAATCCCTCTTTCCATATGAGTGTTAAAATATAGGAGAGGAAATCTTTATTGAATGTATAGAAGATTCAATTGTGAAGAACTGCTGTCCTAGTCTATACTATAGAGTAGTACTCTATACTATAGAGAACAAGAGAGAATCATTATTCTCTATCCCTGAGTACATCTATGACCATATAACTTTATTTCTTTTAACATAAAAATCTCCACAGCAAATTACTGATCTAAACAGTTGAGAGGAACTTGATTCGGAAACAAAGGGTTAGACAGTATGCTCTTGTGCTGGTTTTCCTGCCTGTTACTTGTATGTGTGTTGTGCTAGTCTCAGATTACTTTTGAGAATGCTATCTAAAATCTGTTCATTTTCCCTGTTCTGAAATACAGAAAGAATTTCTGAAGACTTGATTTGGGTGTTGGAATTTACCTCTGTCTTCCTGAACTAGATCATGTGCTAAATATCTTTTACTTAGTGTTGATATTTAATGCCATTACCCTATGAGTGAGGGTAGGTCAGTTTGACTTGTTGTATGGAAAAAAATAAACAATTTTTTGCCATAAGGGTCTGGAGTGGAATCAGGGACTACATCTAGTCTGAGGTATGAGGCTGATGATGTCAGGCAGCAGAACTTACCCAGAGCAAGAACAGTGTTTTAGCATGGCCGCTGTGTTGTTCTTCCAATAGAAATGTAAGTGACTGCTAGATTTTGCTCTACTTGATTAAAGTCTCTGCAGATCTGCCACCACCTATGTGGTAGTTTAGGTAGTTTCTAGATACAGTTCTGCAATGGATGACATGGTCATGCATAGAAATTTTTTTGTTAATGAACATGCTGAATGTGCTGTTTTGATAAAATGCTTTTAGCAAATGTTTTTCAGTGTCTT